GAGAAGAATGCCCAGAATAGCACAGATTTCGTTGCGTAGGGCACGTAAGTCAGGTGTAAGACTCAAGAATTCCCAAAACAATCTTCTTCAGAGCACGGCAACAGACCACTAGGCAGACTGAAACTGTTAAATACAATCTCAAGAGAGGTGACATCTGCCTTGATAGCTGGGAAACTACTACCCAAGCCCGTGACGACCCAGGCCCATGCAACCTGGAGGAGACTTGCAAAGAGAACACCGATGCCTTTGAGATCAGGCGTACCAGTCCCCTCTTTGAGAAACGTGCCAAGAGCAAGACAAACAGTAGCACTCACAACTCACTTTATCAATGCAGTATCTGCAATAGGGCTTGCGGCTCTAGGATTGGATATTCACGAAAAAGGACTCATCGTTAATGTGTCGATGAAATACTCATGCGTTGAATCACGACCCGAAAATCCATGAATATGGTAGTGCTGATTTTCTAAGCGTACCTTAGACGTGACACAAGGCCGTATGGTGTACTCAGTGAGACTCGAACTCGCTCTTCAGTTTGTAATTGTTTTAGCGAGACAAGCTTGCTAACCATTACACCATGCCGAGGTGACCTCATGCATATGGTAGTGAATGCTGAACAGTTTCACCACAGATGAAGAGAAGACTTGAGACAACAGAGATGTGGTTCTACAGAAGGATGCTGGGAATACCAGAGACAAAAGATATAAACGATTGTATTTATACTTAAAATCAGAAAGAGACAGTTGAAATTTTAGGATATATAATGAGAAAAGAGGGCTTGGAGAATTTGACACTCGAATGATTTATGGAAGAGTGAAACAGCGAGTAGCCTACTGAGCAGGTCTGTATAAATGGATGACAGAATAGGTAAATATTTACTCAGCGCTGCAAAGAATAGACGTTGTGGAGAGCCATGTAAACATATGAACAAGAAGGAAGTCTTAAAGAAAGCGTGAACAAAAAGACTGATACTTAGCATCAGATAGTGACGATTATAATTTCTGATAATGTGGAAAGGATGCTTTGAAAATTTGACACTCACAGGATATAAGCGATTCAGGTATAAGCAGCTAGAGTGCTGTTCGATAAAAGTGACTCACCTGATTTTTTTTACTAAATTTTCTCTTCTCCGATGAAACGAAAGTTGAGCTAAATTCAAAGGATAAGCGATCTAAAATCCGAAGAAGCTTTGAAAGCTCTTTGAATCTAGCAGTAAGTACTGTCAAGCATCCGTTCAGTATAACGTTCTGGGGATGCTTTTCTTTTCATGGAACTGGTTTCTTAAAACTTATTTAAAAGACCCTCAAGAGCGAGCAGTACAAGAGAATTTTAGAGTCTTGTCTGCTCCCTTCTGCTGAAAGGGTGCAGATCTACCGCATCAAGCTCGTTTTATGCAGGATAATTCTCCCTGTCACAAATCAAAATTGATGAAGGAATACTTTGATGAGAAGCAGGTGAGTGTTATGACATGGCCGCCCCACTCTCCTGACCTCAACCCCATAGAAAACTTATGAAGCATGTTGCTCAACTGCTTTCTCGAGAGCCTGTACTTTATAATGCCAACTTCACAGAGCTTTCAAAGCTTCTTCAGATTTTAGATCGCTTATTCTTTAAATTTAGCACAACTTTCGTTTCATCGGAGAAGAGAACATTTAGGAAAAAAAATCAGGTGACGTTTATCAGGTTACTTTTATCGAACAGCACTGAAAATAATCTAATTAATGAGCTTGTGTAAATGAATAACAGAACATGAACTAGCAGGGAAAATAAGGAGATAAACATTGCTAAGAGATTCGAAGTTGTGAAGAGTCATGACCGCCAATGTCCTAAAGGGCAACAGGACAAAAGAAAAGAACCTGTTAATGATACTGTATACATCTGAGATTATGACGAATGGAGATAGTCCGTCGGTATTGTTCGAGTTGGATCGATTGGATGACAGTCAAGATCCTGAATAGAAGTGAAAACTGTAGATTCATTTCCCTAAAGCCATGCCTGTCAACCTTGTTGAGGAATTTTCTATTACCCCTCCCCACCTCTCTCTCTCTCTCTCTCTCTCTCTCTAATGCCAGGGCCTGGCAGGCTTTGGTTTTATTTTGATCCCTCTCACACATTGGGAATTCATCACGTCCAACGTTGCTGACGGGGGGGACGGTGTTCGCTGATTCCTCATCTGACAGACAAATAAAGTCGGTAAACCCAGAGAACCACATTTTTCATCAGAGTGAATTTGACGAAGCCAGGAAATCTTTGAGCGTTCTAACATCGGCTTGTCCATCTCAAAGAAATTTTCGAGTGAATATGCAACGAAGAAAAATGGAGATTTTGTGTAGTTTGTTGCGTTGCTACGACGAATGGCAAAAAGATTTTTTTTTTTTCTTCAGCGGACATGGGAATGAATACAGTTTAAGTGTTATATGGAAGAGATTTTCCATAAGACTATAATTTACGATGACGATAATCCGATAGGGCGCCTCAGCATGGAATAATGGTTAGTGCGTTCGATTCTCACGGGTCACCTCATATGCTTGGGCTTAGACCCAAAAGCTTAGACACAAAAAATAACCTCCTCGAGATGGAATAATGGTTAGTGAGCAAGTCTTGTCGACCATTGCTCGTGAGTTCAAACCTGAATATTCGGTAAATACGTCCATATGTAAAGAAGTTAGATTATTTTTAAATGAGGTCCGCCTGCCTGTGGGTAGTAGTCAGCAAGCTAATCTAGTTGACTGATTGTTTGTTTAACGGCATATCAACTCCTTATGGGTCATTTAATGCCGAAATGCAGTAATAAGAACCTGATTTATGTTATTCTGCTGTCACAATTGACTACATGACATGATACTCAGCGTTTATACTTACAAAAGGCGGTGATATGTATGTTTTATATTGTGGTTTTACTGAAGTTATATTTAGGAATACAGTTTTATTTCTTTACGAAATTATAGAATATTATATGGATTAATATTCTGTCCTTTCATATTGGTGGTTTGATTTCGTTTTACGGTATATCAACCTCTATGGTTGATTTAATGCCAGAATCTTAATATTTTGAACAGAGTTTTTTTTATAGCTTCAATTACAGATAAAATGTATTATTCGTCATTTTGCTATAAAATATATTGTTGGTAATTCTCCTATAAATGTCTATCGTTGGTAATATTTTTAAATATATTTTGCTGGTATTTTTAGTATAAAAATGTATTTTTATAATTTCATAGTATTTGAGAGTTCACTATTTACTTATAGCTGGGACCCTAACAGGTGCTACCACCTTGGGTTATGTTCAACCTGGAAACAACAGCAATTAAGAGGTGATTCCAAGCTCCTCAAAACCTCCCAACTCGCGATAAGATGCCTTGCTGCCGGGTGTAGTTTATCGTTATACTCAGGAATAAAACTAATCGATAGGCCTTTAAGCTCGCTTATAGCTCCTTATTATTGGCTTTGTCTCTAACTAAACTTTTAGTAATCATTCCACTCCCAAACAAGGCAATAAAGTCACTAAGATGCAATGCGTTACTGAGTGTGAAAGAATATGAGAAAAAGAAAGACATAATTAAGGAGAGAGAGACAGAAGATAACGATTGACGTTTGATTTAAATTTTTCAAGATCTAAGTTGAGTGGAAAGCTAGAGGCCGGAAGAGACTTCCAGAAGCATGAAGTGCATTGTAAGAAACTGTTAGCATAGAACTTGCGGTTACATCTAGCTAATTTACTTGTAAAATGATGGGACTTAGCTGTCAATCTAGTACTGCGTCAAGTGGGAGTACTAAAGTGGAAAACCTCATCAGAATAATTACCATAAAAATATTTATAGAAAAGCCACTGGAAGCGACAGGCTAGCGAACTAGTCTAATGGAACATTGCTTCTAATTACTGAGATTAATCCTTAATGGGCATCCCATAATTTTAGCCCTATTCCAGACTAATATAATATTCGTACAGAACAGGTTTATACCAGATAGTTTTTAACATTCTTCGACAAGCATTTTCTTTGAGTTACATTCAAGAATCTATGCTAACGAGTAAATTCCTCCAAGACAATGAACCTTCACTCTCTTAAAGGTTTACTATTGGTCACCTTGCCAAAAATGGCTTAAAGAGGACTAAATTAGTGGAATGGCTCCCAGCCTTTCCAGAATTTAACCCAACAGAAAACTGTGGGTCCATAATCAAAGTAGAGAATATATGGAAGATATATACGAGAATAAAAAAACAATTTCCATGTAACAATAAGAATAATGCAAGAAATATTAGGTTGGTGCAAAAATAATGACGTAACAATGTCGTTTTTTGACGTACTTTTCTACGTCAAAAACGACATTCTTACGTCATTATTTTTGCACCAACCTAATAATAGAACAGTTTTTTGTTTTTTACAATAATGTTCATCCTATACAAGGCCCAAGAGCCACGCAAGGTAGAGGTTTACAGAGTAAAATGTCCTTGTAAAGGTAAGGATTGCAGGAGAAGTCAGGTACTTAGTGGCGTGCCACAGAGAAGCGACCATTTTCCTAGTATATTTAGCGATGGATTATATGTACGATTTCCACTTAAGGTTTGGGTTGAACTTAAGTCTTAATATTCGCTCAATCCCCTGAACCTCGTTGAAAGAATAAATGCGCATCACAACAGGCGAACATTTAAGGTACCCGGCAGTGATGATCAGAGCTTAGTTTGGTTTTCAAGACAATGTGAACAGCCAGTTTTCCCCACTGAGCTAAGAAAAAAACAAAATGCTGATGGAACTTATACAATGAAATAAATTCATATTAACATGTAAATTAATGAAATAGTTTTTTTTTCAGGTTATATGGCCATAAACCCTTTATACCACCCGCACATTCAAATTTCGAGTACCTGGTATTCCCTAGCGGTCACCCATCTAGGTACTGACTAGGCTCGCCGTTGCTTAATTATAGTGATGGTACAAGAACCAAAATTTCAACATGATATAGAGTAAGCCGTTTATACCACCCGCACATCCAGGCATGAAGTATCTTGTATTCCCAAGTGGTCCCCAAAGTGGGTACTGATCAGGCTCGACGTTGCTTAACTATGGCGATCGCATGAGAACCAGAGTTTAAACATGATATGGCCGTATACACTTACATACAAACTTTCAGCACCTGGTATTCCCTAGCGGTTACCCATGTAGGTACTGACCAAGTACGGTGTTGCTTAACTTCAGTTATTGTACGAAAAATAAAGATTCAACGTGATATAGAGTAAGCCCTTTATACTACCCGCACATACAATCTTTCAGCGCTTGGTATTCACTAGCGGTTACCCATGTAGGTAGTGACCAGGATTGGCGATGCTTAACTTCAGTGATTGTACGAGAACCAGTTTCAACGTTATATGGACGCAAACCCTTCATATCACCTGCACATACAAGCTTTCAGCACCTGTTATTCCCTGGCAGTTACCCATGTAGATACTGGCCAGGTTCACCGTTGCTTAACTTCGGTCATCGTACCAGAACCAGAGTTTCAACGTGATATGTTCATAAGCCGTCTATAAAATTTAAAATCGGTATCTGTAGTTTAAATATTTATATTGACTTAAGGGATTTTATTGACACTCCTGGTAAGAAATTGATTTATAACATCAAAATTAATGTACAAATTGAATGGAAAGTACGTAAAGCCGCCTCTAAAATATGCGATACGTTAAATGAGAAAAATATGATAAAATCATGAAATGTATGAAAACAAAGACTTTAAGCAAATTAAATGTTTATAATTTATGGTAATAGGTAAGCAATAGTGAAATAAAATATTATTGAAAATGTAAAATAAAGGAAACCAATTAGAATATATTAAATATAAAAGAAAAAAAATAATTTACACAATATGAAAACGATTGTCTGCCCCAAATAATGTCTATTCTTCCTTAATCCCAATAGATTTAACAGTAGAAGAACAGAACACATACCAAAATGAACACGGGCGATTTAAACCTACTCTTTAACATTGTCTCTTCCTTTTCGCTCACGATATGAGGGTCGGTTAAAATGGTATGCATGTTCTTCTTTAATTCCAATGTATTTAACAGTATTAATCCATAAAACACACCGAAATGAACGCAAAATCAGATCTATTGCTTAACATTGCCTCTTCATTCACGATTATGATATGATTGTCGGTAAAAAAAAAGGTAATGCTTATTCATCTTCAATTATGATGGTTTTAATAATTGAAGAACATATATCATTAAAAAAAAAAACGAAGACAAAATTTCCAGGACTCTAAATCCAGTCTTTAACACAGTCTTTTACTTTCTCAACTGTGACATGAGGGTTATTAAAAACGTAATGCCTATTCCTTTTTAATTCTAATATATTTAATAGTAGAAGAACATAAATTATACCAAAATTGACACAAAGGTTTCAGTATTTCAAATCTACTCCATATCATTGTCTTCCTTGTCGATCATGATATGAGTGTCGGTCAAAAAGTATGCCTATTCTTTTTTTTTTTAAATTCCAACAGATTGAATATTACAAGCTCATAAACATACCAGAATGAAGATCCAGCCCTCGATCTAGTCTATGTCTTTCCCATTCATGTTGCCCAACATTTTATTGAGGATATAATACCTTGACGTGATAAGAATTCTTGTTTTTTTTTCTCGGCCATTTGAGAATGACGTCATCCATCTCATCATCATTAGAAAACCATTCTTCTGTTTTCAAATTCATTCGTGTTATGCAGATCTAGAAGCAACCACGGCCTGATACTTCATGGGATCTGTCAGTATTCAAGAAACCCACATTGCACAGACCTTTGAATAATCCAGGAAACTGCATTAAACTGCAGATACTACCATGGTTCACCTGAAGGCTTTCAAATTGTTTTTCAATAGTAAAAGCTAATAAGAAAATAATACCCCTTGGCCTTATCTTCAGTTACAGCGGCAGTTGGTCTGCAACTGTGGTGCATGACCCTAAATCAAATCTACACTAGAGATAACAAATATCAATTTCCTGGCTCAGTACAAGACTTTGTTTTTTTCTCATGAATTAATTACCTATAGCGGTCATACCATCGCTAATGAATCTAACATCTCTCAATATTTACAACGTCATGCCTTTCCGCATTCGCAATTTAGAAAAGTTCTTGTTGAAAATACAGCTGTACTTTTTCATGAAAATAATAAACAAACTAAAAATAATAAATATAAATTAAAAATTCTTGAAGCTATCAATATTAACAAATTGGAATCAACCCATCTTAAAATTAATTACAGTGTAACCCGGATATAAGAGAGTTGTCGGGACTGGAGAAGAAGTATCTTATATCCGGGTTTCTCTCATATCCGGGTTTCTCTTATATCCGGGTTTGGTCTATTTTGTTTAGGTAAGTATGGCTCTAATTTGGGATCAGAGAAAATCTCTCTTATATCCGGGTTACACTGTATTAATACTGCACAAATATTTTAAAATGTCTACAGTAAATAGTTTAAAATATCTAAATAGTTTCAAATAGGTTTTCTTTAAAAAAAAAAGATTTAGGCATTTTAATAAATTAGTTACCTCCCTGTACGTTTATCGAGGTAACTAATTTTGACGTGATAAGAATTCATGAAATTTAAAAAAATTACGGTATACAATATTAGCGTGTAGCACTTCACGCGTGTAAAATTTCATTTTCAGATGAACTTAACAATTTTTTTTACAAAAATTATGAACACAACAATTTTTGTCTTAGAAAAAACAAGATCCTGATTATGATATTGTGCTAATGTCGAAAGTACTCGGAATAAAATGAATATGCATCAACATGGAAATTTTGTTTCTTTTTTAAAATAAGAATGCTAAGAAACTTGTCCGTAATTACGAGAGGATCCTATTAAAATAAGTAGACAAAAATTTAAATTATTTAATGAGACATGTTTTAATACACACACACACACACACATATATATATGTATATACATACATATATATATATATATATATATATATATTCTCTGGAAAAGAGATCGGATAGCTGTTAAAATGCAACACATACATATATATATATATATATATATATATATATATATATATATATATGAAAGTAAACATAGAAGTCAACACTTATGCGGCCTAACGATTGCATCTAGCATGAAACAGACTGTCGCCTCTAAGTGTTGACTTCAATGTTCACTTTTATATTTACACACGCTATCTCTGATATTGAGCACTTTATCCCATAAATATAGGACATCTTAAGACTATATTTCTTCATATATATATATATATATATATATATATATATATATTAAATGTGTATGCATAATATATATATATATATATGCTATTTATATATATATATATATATATATATATATATATATATATATATATATATATATATATATATTATTTATATATTATATATGCTGATACTTATTAGAAAGCTCTCAATATCAGTGATAGCGATAACATATTTAGTTGGATTGGCGTGTGTTTTGTGACCCTGGGTTTCACGTTATTTGCGATCGTCTTGGAGAATTTGACACGCACAGGATATAATGAAGACAAGAACAGCATGGAAAAAACATCGAATAACCTACCTATCTAGCTTGTGTAAATGGATACTAAGGCTAATAATATTGATCAAAGCTAAAAGGTATCGGAAGTTGTGGAGATCTATGATCAGCCACGCTCTGAAGTGCTACGGCACACAAAAAAAGGAAGAATATAAACAAATTATTTTGTTATAAATACTATGAGAATCTCCAAGGAATAAATTCTAGACGATGTTTATATTTGACATTAGATGACATGAGATACAGAAATATTGAAAAATCATTATAACAGTAATTTTGATGATGAGATTTGTAGATGTGATAAACACGGAAATGACTGATGGTGATAGAATTTCAAATGAAGTCGGTTAAAAAAGAATTGTCCAGAAGAAACACCATATAACCTACCTAACAAGCTTGTGTAAATGTTTGATACAACAGTGCTTATAAGAAATAACAAAAGACAAACATTACTAAGAGCAGAAAAGGACAGGAAATTGTTGGGTGATCGTCAAGAAGATACGTTCAAATGTTAATGACTTTATATGCAACGCATATAATAGAAGCAAACGGCTTGCTTTAATTACTACATATTTAATAGTATTAGGTTGGTGCAAAAATAATGACGTAAGAATGTCGTTTTTTGACGTTAAAAAATACGTCAAAAAACGACATTATTACGTCATTATTTTTGCACCAACCTAATAGAAAGACAGAAAGCGTGTCAGACTTAACACAAGTGTCCGACGATTTCAAATCAAGTCTTCATAATAGCCTGTTTACTTCTGAATCGTATATACGAAGATTGATAAAAAAAATGTGATATATTTTTCTGTAAATTACAGTATATTTAACAGGGAGGATTCATAAAGCATGCTTCAATGATCACAATTGTCTCTGGGTTTCAAACCTAGTCCACATAATAGTCAAATTTGTTCTGAAGAGTTTAAACGATAATTTGTCAAAACAGTTCATTTTTTTTGTTTAATTACAGCATATTTTATTGTAGATATACAGAAATAATGCCAAATTGAACACAAAATACACGTTTTCAAATGTAGTCTTTAAAAATGCTTCTTTTGAGAGTAGTTTCATTTGAAAAGTAAAGCTAGTTTTTCTTTAATTCCAGTAAATTGTGGAAGTATAGGAAGCAGGTCAAAAGGAAATCGAATGTTCCAGGGTTTAAATATAGTTCTCGCCTTCTGTTTTATGAACTGTATATACATTGGTTGGTAAAAAAAAAGCTTTATCTTTAATCAAAACAGATATAAGTTTAGAACACAAATCCGATGAAAATGCACACAAAAATGCAGGAAAATAGATTTTTTTAAACATCTTCATAAAACCTAAATGTCATTTACTTTGTCATTTATTTTTGACCTCATTAAGAAAAAATATATTTAAAAAAAAAAAAAGATAGATCTGAGACTGTTGTGGATTCCGGGATGAAATCCGGTCTCAAATGAATGACAAACGCAGGAATGAAATATAACAAATAAATGTATTGACGTAATAATACAATTGGTAATACGGTTAGTAGATCCAGAAATGCGGTTAGTAGCAATAATAATATATATACAATCTGGG